GCTTTCAAACATTATTTAATGAATTTCTATTAATGTTTGTTCTTAAATACTGTATGTAAAAATGTAAAATACTTAGGGGCACATTAAGGGCACATGGTCATTTGGATAAATACGTGGTCACCTTTTGGTGGACCAGATTCTGGTGACCAGAATCGTGACAAACTGTAACCCAATGAACACAACTCTCCCATAGACTGAACACATAGTGAGGGGAATATAGCGCCACATATTGTCATACATTTGTATTACAAATGAATCAAAACCATTCATGCAGCCAAAACTGCGGAATGTTGATGGTTACTACGTTAAAAATAAAGAGGGGTGGGTGACACATGGTGGGGTGCAAAAGAAATAGTACCCTAGACTAACAAAACCATAGCGTCACCCACCCCTCTTTATTTTTAACGTAGTAACCATCAACATTCCGCAGTTTTGGCTGCATGAATGATCAAAACATTGCAAAAGTCAAGTATTGAGCGATTGTTTCGCTTATTGTTATCATTAATGTTGTAATCATTGTTACAATCAATGCATTCATAAGCCGTTCATTACATCTCATTGTTGTCCACATTTGTCACCCGAAATGTCTTCGCCGACCATCTCTTCGGACCAATGGTTTGACACCAAATACAAAAGCATCGCTCAATTGATCCCATTATTCACTGATTGTTTTGCATTTCTTCTTCGGCTAACCATAGGCTCAGAGATAACGACACTTGCGATGTACATTACAAATAATGATAAATAAATTGAATGAAGACTTGAATTAAGAATAAGTGGAGAAACAAAACCATAGGCTCAGAGATAACGACACTTGCGATGAATTGGCCAACGATTTGATGGCCAAAATCAATCAACGAAATCAGTTCCCGAAGAACTCAATCGCCTTTTCGCGGGTAATGACAGTTGTGTTTGTCATTGACTTTGATTTTGATATGAATGGATCCCTTCCTCCCCTTTAGAACGAGAGCCAAACGCAGCAAATGATGAAGACTTTCACTCAACGCATACAACAATTACAGCAACAACTGATCCAAAGCTCTAAATCTAATCAATTGTATGCATACTCTCGATGGGCACCCAATTTGTGGTGACATTTGTCTCTGTGTTATCTAATTATGACATTTAATGTCCAGAACTCAACGCGAGATCGAAAGGAGACAACGAGTGGTTGATAATTTGAATTATCGGTTAAAACAGATGGAGATATCCATAGAAAACCCGGACGCAGACCGAAGGTATCACTCAATTCAATCACCGATCAGTGGATTTAGTGTATTGTCTGTTGTTTTATGTGTTA